ATATCCATATTCTGATCGACGAATAAGCTATTAATTATGTGTATGTACTTTTACATAGTCCTACAATCTCATGCCAGCCTTCAAGGTACTGCGCGTTCAGCTCATTATCGTGTGTTGGTAGACGAAAACAAGTTTAATGCCAATTCCATGCAAGAGTTAACTAATAAGTTATGTTATTTGAATGCAAGGTTTGTATTTCATGAATTTACCCTTCACACTTTCTTAATTATTATATGAAAAATGTTTATATATATATTCTTTAATATTAATGTCAGGTGCACATCTGCTATATCAATTGTAACTCCCGCATACTATGCACATTTAATTGCCAATCGTGCAAGACATTGTCTCATTCGGGATGAAAACGAAAATTATCATCTTCCAGAATTGAAAAAAAGTCAAATAATTTCAATGAATTATGTTTAAAGTTAATTTCGTATTTTGGAAAGAAATGTATTTGACTATATATAACAATATAGGGGTTTTTTTTTGTGACAATCTAGACATTAGCATAACATTTTCATATCTTTAATAATAACGTAGAGAGAGATATATAATATTCAATTATGTCACGTGATATTCTTTTGTAAAATTCATATAGTTCTCGTGTATTAAAATCTTCAAATATTTTGTTCAAATATTAATTATCAGAATTATCCAATCCAATTAAGTAAACGTATTCATCATATAAAAAAATTTTTTTTTCATAATAATAATACGGTAGCAAAGTAACAAAAAAGAATGATATTTTTTAAAATCGCTCTTTTCATAATTAAATCCTAGCAAATGTTCGTTAATACGTATTCAAATTAAAATAAAGAACAAATACCTTATTCGTGGATTAAAAAATGGATAATTCATGGTTTTATTCATCCTTTCAATATTATTATTATTTAGGAATTTTTTATAAATTATCAGTGCTGCGTAATAATAATGCATTTACCTAATTTTCAATATAAATTATTTTGTACGAAATAACAAATTCCATTAATTATTATTCAAATAATGCCTTAAATGAAGCGTTTGCTTTTACTTCCCTCGCATTATCATCTTGATTATTTATGTCTAATTCACAACTAACTGATTTTTTTTTTTGCTCGAAATTCAATTGAGATCCAGTAATTCGTGTACCAAAAGTCAATATTGTTTTTGATAATATATATCAAATTCGATATTTGACAAACTGAAACAAATGCGAAAATCCAAATCTTTGACAAAATCATTATCTATCTATATATATATATATATCAATCGAACTTTTTATTTTCTTAGACTCAAATCTTACGCAAAATTTGACTAAAGTTTACGGACGAAAAATTAAAAATTTCAATTTTAAATTATTAAATATAGAATTCATCAATCAAAATTATCATTTTATAAAAATGAAACGTGTATGAAGAAGCATTTTTTACGGTTAAACGCAAATTTGATTTGAATATAAATCTTACGCATAAATTATTTTTGATCAAAGATCCTAACGAAAATATCGTGTTAAGAAACGACGAAGTGGCTATAGTAAAAAATTCTAACAAGGTATGTGCCTCTTAGCTAAAACATACCGATTTTTCTTGTTCAGATTTTCTCTTTAAACGAGTTACCTACTTTTTCGTATCATTTGGCTGAGCGTTCAAATATTCTTCGTTCTTGTCTCATCCCATGAAATGCTTCTTGTTGTTCTTCAATGAAATTAAGTCGGTCGGCGATTGTAGTCATTAGGTAATTAGGTTGGTAGTTTACAACAGATGGATAGAGTTGATGAGAGTTAATTATATTCGGTTTAAGGTCACATGATTGTGACAAATAAAACCATCTTCAATCATGAGAGTCATGTATAAAATTGTTCAAAGTCAAAAAAAATTTGAGTTCATTATATACATATTTATATATAGTCAATTTACATTTTTTTTTTTGTCATAAAGTGAATCGATAATTTTGACAGATTTTGTCTTTGGACCAGTTATAAATCACACTATTCATTATTTTAATTTTAGTGATTGATTTTTACTTTCCTAATCTCTTCGAATATGTTGTCATCTGTACTTTCTACCAAATAAACTAAATACAGCTGCATTAGGGTATAACTTGTTTAAAATTTGTTACCGCTGTTAGAACTTTTGGGATAAGTGGCAGGGCTAACGCTAGATTTTGATTTTTGTTTCTCCTGGTGGGTTCATATTCGCTAAAGTTGAACGACTCTTTTCAGCCTTAAAGTTGCAACTATAGGTAAATGATTCGTATTGTCAATTGGATTAGTACAGGTTTATTTATTGAAATATCTACAAGAATTAAAATGTGCTTTCTGTACCATTAATTACATCTATCCCAATAGTGCTTATTTCCATTACAAGGTCACTTTTTTGGTAGATTCATAAATTTAATTTAATGTAATCAATTTAGACGTCATTTGTTTTTTATTTAAATCTCAAAAAATTCGTTATTATTTTTTTTAAAAAAAAAAAAAATAATCAGAATCTATTAGTTACATAAATTATAAAATCACTAATAGAATTTGATTTTGTAATCCATTACATGATCTTATAAAATCACGTGATTTATATTTTATATAGTTTGAATTATTATTTAAACCAAAAATAATTTCATACCCTTTTCTATGTTTTTTAATATTGTTTTGATAGTTTTAGCTTTCATCATATTAAAAGGTATTGTCATATCTCTTATTATAATTTTAATATAGTTTTATCTGAATTTAGATTATTATTAAGAGATTTTATCTTTTATTTATATTCTCTTATATAATTTACAATCTCCATTTAAACCTTTTTTCTATAATCCTCTTTCTATAAATATTTATCACATATTTTTAGCTTCATTTGGATATTGTAGATGATCAGCTAAAAAAATCATTGATTGTAATATATTATTTGATCTAAAATATGTTGAATGTATTATGATTATTTACTTTTAAAATTAACATTTATTTTAAAAGCATTTAAATTAAAATTATTCTTATAATTACTTTCAAATTTTAATTAAATTACAAATTAATTACGCTATAAGTAAATTTAATTATATCACAAATTATAATTCAATTATGCCATTTTTTTAATTGTGATGTCTATCTTTTAATTTAAACCATCTTCTGATATTATATCATGATTAATATTTTTGTCAAATACAAAAATAGTAATTGCAACAGGATAAATAGTTTCAAAAATAAAAATAATATAATTAATAATCTAATCAATTAAATAATTAATTATTTATCAACCCTCTTTATTATTTTAAATTTTAAATATTTATGTATTTTATTAGAAATATTAGGATTTAATAATAATTATTTAGGTATTAGTTTTAATTAACTAATAGTTTTAAATAAAATCACTAATTATAATAAATTTGCTTTGACTTTTTTTTCAAAGTAAAAGTTCTTCTAATAACATTTATACTATCTCTTAAACTATAAAGCAGATAAATTTACCTATAAAATTTTATAGTTTAAGAGATAAATAGTTATCATTTACATAAAACAAATATTTATTATATGTAATTAGTATATGTAATTATTAATTAGTAGAAATTTCTAGGTTAATTTATATTATTTTAATTTTAACAAATGTTGATATAAATTATTTAAGTTTTTTATTTTCTCAAAAATATTTAATGATATTTTAATACATGTTCTATTTTATGATTATTAAATTAAAAAATTTTTTTATTTAAATTATGATACTAATCTGATTTTTTTAAGTCAAATATAATTTGATTGTATTGTAATTGAATTTTTTACTTACAATTTCATTTGTAAAAAAGAATTAAATTAATAAATTCTTAATAAATTTAATATAGTTTTTCACTATTTTATCAAATAAAAATAAGGATTACTATTAATTATATTTTTATTATCAATAAATGATTATAATAATATTTTTACATTCTCTTACATAAAATTTTATTTTTAAACTAAAATCTACCTATTTACAAATAAGCATTGTTTGATAAGAATCTTTATATAATTTATTAGTTTTATTTGATATTAATATTTTTTTAAAATATTTGTATTATAGAATAAACTATTAAATTTTTAATAAAATTTATTTTATTAATAATAAATTTAATATTTAACTTTTATTGAATTATAATATTTTTTAATAGATCAGCTTGAGAAAGAAGTATCCTTATTATTAGAATTATATTTTAAAGAATTATAATTAAAATAATTAGATATTGATAAATTATTAGTATTGTTAAAAATATTAGTTACTTATTTATAAAATAATTAATATAAACTTATATATTTTTTTTATTTAATTAAAATATATAATAATATTTTATTAAATTTTTATTCATTATAAGAATAGCTTAAAATAATATGATATTAATTTGATATATTATAAAAATAATTTATAGATATTATATTATTTTTCTTCTTTACCTATTGTATTAATTATATAATACTTGATAGTTATGAATTATATTAAATTTTATATTTTTATCGAATTAATATTAAGATTTTAAGCAAATAAAAAATAACTAAATGTTTAAAAATTCAAGAAAAAAATGTGTAATTTTTATAATATAAACTGATATATTACTTTCTTATATAATTTTTAACTATAAGAATTACATAATTTATAATATATATTTTCAATTATATAACTAATAAAAAATAAAAAATCTTATATTATTTTAGACAAAACATTTTTAAACATATGATTAAAATTTTTTTAAAAAATATAATTATAATATAATTTTTATAAATTTTTCAAAAATTTATATTATATTTATTTAAATTTAAAGTTTTAAAATTATTATAATATTTGTTCAATCAGATTATTTTTTAAAATTTTCTATTAATCAATTTTTATCTAAAATAAAAATTTTACTTTATTACTTTTAGAAATTAATAAACTAAATAACTTTTAGTTTTCTTTTTATATAATTTATTTTTTAAGATTTCTTTTTTATAAATGTAAAAATATCAGTATTTTTTTTTTTTATTTAAATTTATATTTAAATAAAATTCTTTATATTAATTAGAGATAATAATATAGTTGCTAATACTATTTTTTTATTTTTTGATAATGATAGTAATCATTAAACATTTATTTAATAAATTTGTTAAGAGATATAATGATAGCATATTAACTAAATAAGCTTAAATATAATAATAATAATAAAAATAATAATAATTCTTATAATTTAATTTTTTGTATTATATTTTATTATAAAATAATAAAATTAATTATAATACTATATTGTTAAATTTAAAATAAAAATTAAATCTAATGATTTTATTTAAATATTAATTTTTAATATAAATAATATATACTTTAATTTTATTAATTAATTAAAAGCTATTTGATATTATATACCAAATCTTTTTTAATAATAATATTTATACAATATGTAAAAGTTACTTAATTTTTTTATAGAATTTATTATTTTAAATAATATATCAAAAAATT